GACAAGTAATTTTGACGCCAGCTCAAATGAGAATGGCCTCACCATCAACCCACCAAGAAAGCTGCACAATTGAGATCACAGTTTTTGTTATTCAGGATGCAGGGGGTGTGCTGAACTGCCCCCTTTGGAATTTGATTGCCTAGCCTCTTCGAATAAGCGGTTTAAGAAGAAAACGATTTTGTTGGTGGCATCAGCTTCCAGGCTCCCAAGGTAATATATATATATATGTGTATATATATATATAGTAATGGAGAATGAAATGGAAAAGAAAATTGACAATTGAATGGAAACTGGTGATATACATATATATATATATATGATGGTTTACAGGGATTTGGGGTTTCCCGAAATTAGGGGTACCTTATTAGGGTTATCATAAAGCATCAAGGAGAATATTTTCGGCAGAAGCAACTTTACCTACTTGACACCCCCGAAATCGAATAGGGGGTCCAGGATAAGTTTCTGACAACTTTATTCCCTTACGGCGTCAATAGAACGCGTGTACTAGTAGCAGGAGATCTTATCTCCGTCCTCGGACGTCCTCAGGCGACAGCCGAAGAATGGTATAAGAATCATGGCCCGAAGCATAAAGCAAGCATGGATAAAGGTGCATTCCTTCGAAACAGGATTCATATGGGGGGTTTATTGGGGGTGATATGGGATATTTAGGGTTTAGGGTTTAGGATTGTTGGGAAGGCAGAATTCTTGAAGGTAGGATGCACGGATGCTGGTTGGCAGGGCTCCACTCCTGTGGTATTGGGTTTGAACGTTGGGTTGGAGGGTTAGTGTGGTGGCGTAGGGTTTCAGACGCCAGGTGCTGAGGCTCAGAAACATCGGCATCACAGATGGAGGATTTTCCCAAGTCATCTCCGCAATTGTGGGCAATAAGACCCTGTGCCTCTTGGACCTCCGAGGGAATGGCCTTTGCACCCTCGAAAACAACAAGGTTGCCGTTCAGGGCCTCAGGCGCTTTAACCGGCTTGTACAGATCTTAGTGGAGTAGGCAAATCGCCTACACAGTGCATGCGTAGCAGGAGAATGCCTGAATTCATCCAAGCAAGCAAAATCATCACTCGCTGCGCATGTCGTGAGCACATCTCAGCAGGGCTCAATCTCGTGCAGGCAATGGGGCATGCACCTGGGCAATCGGATTGCAAGCAATTACAATCATAGCTTAGGGGCTCTGATTAGGAGCGTGTCCGGTCCAAAATATTCCCTGCTGCGCTTGTGGCGTCCAGTTACGGAGCCACCTGTCAGGAAACGGGAACTACTACCGATAGCGGCCGGTACCCGAGGTCACTCTGTTGTATCTGTTGCATGTTGCGGAAGACGGCCTCTCAAGCTCCACGAACCCCCATGCAATGAGGTGCCAGATGCGTGAGGCATCTGCCTCGGAGCAGCTGGGCCAGGGGTGAGCCGTGCGGCTGGCTCATGAAGCAAGCCCCGCACACAGATCAATCATAATCGCGATTTCCTATGAGCTATGCTATATTGCAGCAAGATTGGTTAATGTCCGTTATGCCCACAAAGAAGTGTTGGCAGTTTTGATTCGTGATCCATGCCAAGCGGCACTGCAACATGCCCAAGCACACCCTGCATGGAGCAAGACCCAAGCGACACTAGCAACTATGGCAGCTGCCGATGCTCTAAGGTGAAAGTAGCAGTGATTGACGTCATCCAAGCAAGGTGTGTCTGTAGAAACCCCGCCTGTACATCATCTCGGGCCCGAGATTTAAATCTTCTCAACATCGTTCTCTGGCACCCGCGCGTCTGTGCGATATGTTCCTTCGAGGTGCCGGTTCTCTCAGGCTCCAAAAGCAAAGCCTGAAGACATGATCAGAATTGGAGCCCTCACAAGATGCTGAGAAATTCCCACCTGATACCAGTTTGGAGCCAGAGGGGAAGTGGATCCAGAATTCTTTGTAAGTCAGCGCGATGCTGATTGGCAAGACCAAGCCCGAGAAGCTGCATGCAGCAAAACCCGTGCTTCTTCTGCAGAGTTCAGAGCAATGTGCTGAAACTGATGACCGTGACTCTCCGAGTTGTTACATTTGCTCGCTTGCCCGCGACGGGGGCTTTAGCGTTTGCTCTGTGCTGTTGTGACCGTATTATAGCCCTTATATAATCCCTATAATCTCTGTAGTTTCCATTGTCCTTTCCATTATCCCAATACATAACCCAATATATACCCCTAATATAACCCTATATATCCCTTTAAAGGGACCCTAGGGTTTCTATTTTCTTTTCCATTATCCTTATATGCCCCCAATATAGCCCCTATAGTCAAGTCTCTGTCTTCACCTCCCAGACACATTCACAACGGGAACGCAATGGGGCTTACATAGGGATAATGGAAAAGAAAATGGAAACTACTATAATGGGATATATAGGGGTTCTATAGGGGTATATTAATGTATGGGTCATACATATTGGGATAATGGAAAAGAAAATGGAAACTACTATAATGGGATATATAGGGGTTATATAGGGGTATATTAATGTATGGGTCATATATATTGGGAAAATGGAAAAGAAAATGGAAACTACTATAATGGGATATATGGGGGTTATATAGGGGTATATTAATATGTAAGAGGGACCTTCCGGTAT